AGAAAATATGTTATTCCATATGCTTGCAGACGCATTTCGTTTCATTTTCCCAAGTTAATTCAGGCACCAACATTTACACTGAAAGCTGAATCATCTTTTTGTTTTGTTTTTGTTTTTTTGTTTGTTTGTTTGTTTTTACCCCCACCCTCCCCCTTTTTTTTTCTTTTGCTCCATCGCCCAAGCTGGAGTGCAGTGGCACGGATCATGGCTCATTGCAGCCAGACCTCCTGGGCTCAGGTGATCCTCCTGCCTCAGCCTCCCGAGTAGCTGTGACTACAGGCATACATCACTATTCCCAGCTAATTTTTTATTTTCTGTAGAGAGAGAGTCTCCCCGTGTTGCCTGGGCTGGTCTGGAACTCTTGGGCTCAAGTAATCCTTCTGCCTCAGTCTCCCAAAGTGCTGGGATTACAGACGTGAGCCACCATGCCTGGCTTTGCATCATCTTAAGGGCCTGTTTGTTCAGACAGTGCAAAGACTGCTTTGCTTCCCTGTGGCCTGATAGGAAAAGCATACCTTTCAAGAATGTTCCTCCTTCAATCAAACCCTCAATATGACAGCACTCGGGCCCAGCATGGGGTAGATGCCTCCTGTAGATGGTGGCATCTCACAGTACAAGGGCTGGTGAGGCCAGCTCTACTCAAGAATCTGAGAAAACCACCTCCTGAACCTCACCTACAATGCTCCTGGCCCTCCAAGGGAAAAAAGAGAACGGACTTCCTCTGTGGGCCCCATCAGCCCTGCCCAGGGAACTTAGAGATCGTGGCGCTTTCTTATTGATCCTCTTGTCCAGTGCTGCCCATAGGGAGTCCAAGGACCTACAGCATCAGCCTCCCCTGGGAATTAGTTAGAAATGCAGATTCTTGGGCCCTACCCCAGAATAGTGAATCAGAATCTGGGAGTGGGGCCCAGCAATCTGTGTTTTGGGGTTTTGTTTTTAAGGACCAAGGTTTTCTCTCTGTCACCCAGCCTGGAGTGCAGTAGCATGATCATAGCTCACTAGAACCTCAAACTCCTGAGCTCAAGCAAGACCCCCTCCCACCTCAGACTCCCAAAATGCTGGGATTACAGGCATGTGCCACCTCACCCGGCCCCAATCTATTTTAACAGGCCCTATGGGTGACTTCAATGCACTCAGGCGTTTCAGGGGCACCTGTTATCTCCAACTTCTTCATTTCAAGAATGGAGAAATTGAGACTAGACACAGGAAGTAACTTGTTGTTCAGCCAGGCAATGGCAGAGATCACACAGAAACTCAGCTTCCCAGGCCAGCCATGGTGGCTCATGCGTGTAATCCTAGCACTTTGGGAGACCGAGGCGGGCGGATCACCTGAGGTCAGGAGTTCGAGACCAGCCTGACCAACATGGAGAAACCCCATCTCTACTAAAAATATAAAATTAGCTAGGCATGGTGGCACATGCCTGTAATCCCAGCTACTCAGGAGCCTGAGGCAGGAGAATCACTTGAACCCAGGAGGCAGAGGTTTGGGTGAGCCGAGATCACGCCATTGCACTCCAGCCAGGGCAACAAGAGCAAAACTCCATCTCAAAAAAAAAAAAAAAACCAGCTTCCCAGCATTCCTTCCACTTGAGCTTTCTGTAGCTTTTTTTCTTTATTCATTCATACCTTCACTCATTCATGCCTTCGGCCTCCTATTACACGCTTTGGGCTGCAATGGAGAACCAGGCGTTTGGGGACAGCATCACCCTTCTTCCCGACGTGGGGCTTTCTCAAGGCCAGAGGCCTAGGATTCCGGATTGTGGAAGCATCTGCTAGATCTTTTCCAGCTCACCTCTGGGTCTCCAGTTCCAGCCCAGATAGAAGTCTGATGTGGGCTGCAGGTGGCCCCTACTCCCCAGCTCCTTCCGGTCTTTTCCTGTTTCTTGGCACCTGGGGCTCTCTGTCCCATTCCTCACTGCCCATATCTTGCTCTTGGGACAGGTGCAAGGGCCGGAGGCTGTCACTCTTCCATTTCCCAAAGGGACTAATGATCAAATTAAAGGCCCTTCCCAGCAATGGTTTTGCACTCAAGGAGCCAGGCAAGGTCCAGACTAGGGTTTGCATGTTAGCACTTTGGGCTGGCTCATTCCCTGCTGTCGGGCGGGCTGTCCTGTGCATTCATTCTTTGCTGTAGACGGGCTGTCCTGTGCATTGCGGGATGGTTAGCAGCAGTCCTGGCCTCTACCCAGCAGATGTCAGTAGAATTCCCCAACAGGTTGTGACAACCGAAAACGTCTCCAGATATTGCCAAGTGTCCCCACTGGGTGGTGTTGCCAGATAAGACACAGAATGCCTGGTTACACTCCTTTGTTCTGAGACAGAGTCTCACTCTGGAGCCCAAGCTGGAATGCAATGAGTCAATCTCAGCTCACTGCAACCTCCACCTCCGAAATTGTGTTTTGCTCAAGAAATTCTCGTGCCTCAACCTCCTGAGTAGCTGGGACTACAAGTGCGTGGCACCACACCTGGCTAATTTTTCGTATTTTAGTAGAGACAAAGTTTTACCACGTTGCCCAGGATGGTCTTGAACTCCACCTGCCTTGGCCTCCCAGAGTGCTGGGATCACAAGTGTGAGCCACCACGTCTGGCCGAGCAATCTAACCACAGAAAAGCAACAAGTAATTTTTTTTTGAGACAGTATTTTGCTCTGTTGCCCAGGCTGATGTCCAATGGTGCAATCTTGGCTCACTGCAACCTCTGCCTCCCAGGTTCAAGCAATTCTCCTGCCTCAGCCTCCTGAGCAGCAGGGATTACAGGCATGTGCCACCACACCCAGCTGATTTTTGTATTTCTGGTAGAGATGGGGTTTCAACGATGTTGACCAGGATGGTCTCAATCTCCTGACCTCATGATCCACCCATCTTGGTCTCCCAAAGTACTGGGATTACAGGCGCGAGCCACTGCGCCCGGCCACAAGTAATTTTTAGCGCCTGAAATGTCTCAACTATTGTTGTGGTTTTTTTACATATATATATATATATTTTTTTTCTTTCCTTCCTTCTTTCTTTCCCTCCTTCCTTCCTCCCTCCCTCCCTCCCTCCCTCCCTTCCTTCCTTTCTTTCTTTCTTCTTTCTTTCTGACAGAGTCTCACCTTGTTACCAGCCTGCAGTGCAACGGCACAATCTCAGCTCACTACAACCTCCACCTCCCAGGTTCAAGCGATTCTCCTGCCTCAGCCTCCCGAGTAGCTGGGATTACAGGTGCCCGCCACCACGCCCAGCTATTTTTTGTATCTTTAGTATAGACAGGGTTTCACCATGTTGGTCAGGCTGGTCTTGAACTACTGACCTCATGATCTACCCGCCTCGGTCTCCCAAAGTGCTGGGATTACAGGTGAGAGCCATTGCGCCCAGCCCGTTACCTTATATTTTCTACTTGAAGAATCTTGCAACTCTACCTTAGGGGCAAAATCTTTCTCCACTGGTCCAGATCAGGGTCTGGGGTGTGGGGAGCAGTTAGTGAGAGGATCTGATTAGATAATCATAGGCCATGAGCTTACAAGGGCAAAAACTTTGGCATGATCATCTCTGTATCCCTAGAATATAATGGAGTCTCATTAAATATTTGACCTGATAGTAGGTGTGAGAACACTTGGAACTGTATCAGATACCATACCTGAGTATTTACGTCCAGCCCAGGACTGGACATTAGAGACACACTCCCTAATAAATGTAAACTGAAGATAATGTTTTGTTTGACTCACATAGCATTTTTTTAAAGATGTGACTTTGGGGCTGGGCGTGGTGGCTCAGGCCTGTAATCCAAGCACTTTGGAGGCCTAGGTGGGTGGATCACCTGAGGTCAGGAGTTCAAGACCAGCCTGACCAATATGGTGAAACCCCGTCTTAAAAAAAAAAAAAAGATGTGTCTTCGGGCTTTACATTCTAAAATTGGCAACTGGCTGAGCACGGTGGCTCACGCCTATAATCCCAACACTTTGGGAGGCTGAGGCGGGAGGATTGCTTGAGCCCAGGGGTTCAAGGCCAGCCTAGGCAATATAGTGAGGCTCCCCATCTGTATACAAAATTAAAATAAAAAAATGAGCCGGGTGTGGTGTCACATGCCTGTACTAACAGCTACTTGAAAGGCTGAGATGGGAGGATCACTGGAACCCAGGACTCTGAAGCTGCAGTGAACTATGATAGCGCCACTGCACTCCAGCCTGGGAGACAGAACGAGACCCGCTCTCAAAAAAATATAAAATAGACAGGAAGCAGCCGGGCTTGGTGGCTCGTGCCTGTAATCTTAGCATTTTGGGAGGCCAAGGTGGCCTGACCTCACTTGAGGTGAGAGGTTCAAGACCAGCCTGGCCAATATGGTGAAACCCCGTCTCTACTAAAACTACAGAAATTAGCTTGGCGTGATTGCACGCTCCTGTAGTTCCAGCTACTCAGGAGGCTGAGACAGAATTGCCTGAATCCAGCAGGTGGAGGTTCCAGTGAGCCGAAATCATGCTATTGCACTCCAGCCTGGGCAGTAGAGTGAAGACTCTGTCTCAACACATAAACAAAAACAAAAAAAGCACACAGGAAGCTATCACCTAAGTCAAAATTTCTAGTATCTCTTGGAAAATACAGCACAACTTCCAAATGCTTGGAACATCTGGCAGTTCGCCTGTGCTCCCAATCAAAAAACTTGGCTGGAACTAAGAGGTGCCTGCCCCTCTCCGCTGGCCCAGATCAGGGTCTGGGGTGTAGGGCAGGTACCTCTCAGCAGGGCCGGTGGAGAGGGTCAGGCACCTCTCAGCTCCAGCCAAGCTTTTCCACTTGAGTCCTGCGTTCCCATTACCCATAGTCCCTGCCACTCCCTATTGCCCCACACCAGTACCCATCACCCATTATGTTAACCTGCCTGTAGACACTTGCATTTCATAGCTCTGGCCTAGTGGTAAAGAGGCATTGGAATGGTATGTCCTTTAGGTGATCTAGTGTGAGGCTGGTGTATCATCCTCATTTTACAGATAAAGAAATTTGCCTTTAGGGAAGTTAAGTGAACCAACATCATAACGAGGCTGGATTAGAACCCAAGTTCCTTGACTCCAGGCTCTAGGCCCATGCCCCACCCTGGCCTGAGTTCATTGTGAGAAAGAACCCAACCGCAGGGGCAAAAGCATTGTCACACCGGGGACCTGGAGGGGAAGTGGTTACAGGCACAGAAGGCCAGACCTCCTCACACTCACTCATCTGTGAAAAAGTACAAAAGCAAGAGAAAGCTGGCTGGGGGGTAGCAGTGCAACAGGTGCTCTGAGTGGCACCCAGGGTCGGGTCCTGGGAGAGGACAGAAAGCAACTGGGACCCCTCTACTCCCGGCAGCTCCCGGTGCCCAGCCACCCACGACTGTGAGTAGCTTTTTATATTGTTTATTTTAGGCATCTTCCTCATTCCAGAAAACCTGTATTCTTTTTGTCTGTTTTTGAGACGGACTTTTGCTCTGTTGCCCAGGCTGGAATACAGTGGGGCAATCTCAGCTCAGTGCAACCTCCACCTCACAGGTTCAAGCGATTCTCCTGCCTCAGCCTCCGTTATAGCTGGGATTACAGGCATGCGCTACCACGCTCGGCTAATTTTTGTATTTTTAGTAGAGGCGGGTTTTATCGTGTTGGCCAGGCTGGTCTCGAACTCCCAACCTCAGGTGATCTGCCCACCTTAGCCTCCCAAAGTGCTGGGATTACAAGGATGAGCCACCGCGCCCAGCCAAAACCTGTATTCTTACCTTATCCCTTCCCTGCAGGGACACAAGAAGCCAGGTGGGCCTGTCTGGGGCAGGGGATAGATGCCATTTCAGGACACCTGGGGTTTTGGAGTACCAGTCGCAGTGTGATATTGTGCTGGCCTAGAGCCAGAACCGGAGCAAAACTATTTTATAAAATGCAAAACTGTTTTTAGATAAGTTGAAATGGCTGCCCCATTCTCCTTACAATAACTACTGTCCTTGACCTCTGTAAATAGAACAGCTAGTTTGTTCTTCAAAACTATGTAAAGCTGCTTACCTTTTCTTATCAGTAACTGCTAAAATCTGTGATGTGTAAACAAATGTATATCTTGACGTCTGTAAACCACTGAGGTAACAAACAGAATGACAAAAGTCCCCTAGGCCTTGGAATGTCCGGAGACCCCCGCCCTTGTCTCCACCCAGGAGGTGAATCACAGAATCCCCTAGCCCTTGAAATGTCTGAAACCTTACCATCCCCATCCCCGCCCCTCACCCCCACTCCCAAGGTGGTTTTTCGGGTATAAAAAATCATGGCACCCTCCTTTTGGCACCACAGGTTGGAGAGACTGAGTCCTCTGTGGTCGCCGGCATAATAAATGACCCTGCAATCTGGCATACTTTTGTCTTGGTGATAACTTTCTACGCTCCGGTCAAATACAACAGCAGGAATGCTCAGGGCTGATATCCTCCTCCTAGGACCAGGAATCAGGACTTTGGCCTTCATTTCATTACAGGGACAAGAATCACACACACACAGATGGCCTTGCTGTGTGGCAGACACTGCCCTAAGAGCCTTTAGTGGTTTGATTTATTTAATCCTCACAACAGCTGAATACAGTAGGCACTATCACTGTTGCCCACTTGATAGATGTGGCTAGGGGACTTACCCGAAGTCACGCAGGCATTTAATGAGAGCATTGGCTTAAGCCTAGGCACCCTGGCTTCACAGCCCACCCTTCATCCCCCAAGCTCTCCTGCCTTACTGCGGACTGCAGCAGTAAATGGGGCCAGGAAAGGGCAGGGACTGACAGAGGCCTCTGAGATGACCAAGTGACTCCTGCGCTCTCATTTTATAGATGGGAAACCACAAGGTAGTGTTAGGGGCACACTGGACTCAGGAGACCAGGGTCTGCCTTGGGGTAAGTTCCACTCAGCGGAGGGAAGGGCAGTCTTTTCCAGCGTGCCCTGGGGTCAGCGTCTAGGTCTGAATCCCAGCTCTGCCACTGGTATCTTGATGGCCTCAGGCAATTCACTCCATTTCCTTCCCGCTCAGCTTCCTCTTCTAAGAAATATGGGCCCCAGATGGTCACTCACAGGCTTGTTTCGAGGGTTGACTGTCTGACGCAGGCACAGGGAGGACAGCGGCACAGGGCTTGGGAATGGCCGTGGTGGAGAGTTTGATTTTCACCCCATCTGCCCTTGACGTGGATTTGAGATGCGGATAAATGAGGCCTGGCTGCTTTTCCCTGGAATGAGTGGTAAACAGACACCTCGGTGGCATGAAAGCCAGGACGGAGGCTAGGGAGCAGTTCGGGGAGACCTCAGGAGGTGGAGTCCCAGCAACCCTGGCCGCAGTTCTGTAACCACCTTGTGGCGCACCAGAATGACCCCCTAAACTGCCCTCGGCAGGTGAAATGCATCCTTTACCCTTTGGCAAGCTAAGGCCGGGCTAAGGCAGTGAAGTTGGGAAAATGGCAGCCTGGCTCAGCCAAGCAGAGACCCCCAGCGCCGGCCCCTTCCCTTCCTTCCTCATTTTACAATAGCAGTCACTTTTTTTTTTTTGAGATGGAGTCTCAAATTGTCGCCTGGGCTGGAGTGTAATGGTGCGTTCTCTGCTCACTTCAACCTCCACCTCCAGGGTTCAATGATTCTCCTGCCTCAGCCTTCCAAGTAGCTGGGATTACAGGCACCCACCACCATGCCCAGCTAATGTTTTTGTATTTTTAGTAGAGACAGGGTTTCACTATATTGGCCAGGCTGGTCTCGAACTCCTGACCTCGTGATCCACCTGCCTCAGCCTCCCAAAGTGCTGGGATTACAGGCATGAACCACCATGCCCAGCCACTGGTCACTCCTACTGCACATATTCAGATGTGCATAAAATGTTCTTTCCCTTATTCAGATTAAATCACGTTCAGTAGGACTCAGAGCCTCATCCTATTGGGCTAGGAGGAATGGAGTCTCCAAGTGCACTGAGCTTCCTTCACTCCCACCCCCACCTCTCAGCATCACACGTTAACCCAGAGAGTCACACACAGAGCATAAGCGTGAGGGAGGCTCCTGGGTCCTCCTACAATGGATGCACACTGCCCAAATGGGCCTGATTGTCTGAAGTCCAGCTTTGCCCACTTCCCCGGCATGTCTGGAGTCCAGATTCTTTGCAAGACCTGAAACCACTGTGTCTCATTTTGACCTCCAGGATGTATCACCCAGTGACTTCCCCCAGAGGTCCCGCTGTCTCACCAGAAAGCCAAGCCCACGACCTCTGGTCCCCTCCCCATCAGGGACAATCTCTCCTCTCCCCTTGGCTATGGATGGCAGATGGATACTCTTCTCTCCCCACCCGCCACCTACCTGGCCTAACCTTCTCACTGCGCTCAGGTTCTCAGTTCTCAGGAAAGGACAGAAAGAAGCTTGTCTTCGTATAGCTTCTGCTTCCTACTCTCACCCCTGCAAAAAGTCCCTGAGCCAGGAGACGCAAAGGGCAGTCTTTGAAAAGAGACAGGCAGCCCTGTCTTACAGACAAGAAAAACCAAGGCTCAGCAGTGTCACACAGCCAGGGAACAGTGGAGCCCACGTGAGGAGAGTCCTGCACTGTGGGCTCAGAGCTTGTGCTGTCAGTCACGGAATCATGTGGAATCACATGGAAACCCAAGTCTCCCTCATCAATTACTCAGGTGACCTGGGGCAAGTCACATCACCTTTCTGAACCTCAGTTTCTTCAACTCTAAAAGTGGCACTATCATAGCATTCCCAACCTGCCTCAAAGCAGCTCTCTTTTTTTTTCTTTAGCAAACATTGATGAAACATTTGCTATGCATTTGAGCTCTGTGACCTTTCCTCATTCACTCCTCACTACAGCTTAAGAGGGAGCTGCTATGGCTAACCATGTTTGCAAGGTGAGAAACTAAGCTCACACAAGCTTAAGACTTGTCCAGGCCGGGCACGGTGGCTCAAGCCTGTAATCCCAGCACTTTGGGAGGCCGAGGCGGGTGGATCACGAGGTCAAGAGATCGAGACCATCCTGGTCAGCATGGTGAAACCCCGTCTCTACCAAAAATACAAAAAATTAGCTGGGCATGGTAGTGCGTGCCTGTAATCCCAGCTACTCAGGAGGCTGAGGCAGGAGAATTGCCTGAACCCAGGAGTCGGAGGTTGCAGTGAGCCGAGATCGTGCCATTGCACTCCAGCCTGGGTAACAAGAGTGAAACTCCGTCTCAAAAAAAAAAAAAAAAAAAAAAAAAGACTTGTCCAGGGGGCTGGGCGTGGCGATTCACACCTCTAATCCCAGCACTTTGGGAGGTCCAGGCAGGAGAACGGCTTGAGCTCAGCAGTTCAAGACCAGTCTGGGAAACATAGTGAGACCCTGTCTCTACAAAACAAAAAATTAAAAATTAGCCAGGCCTAGTGGCACATGCCTGTGGTCTCAGCTCCTCAGGAGGCTGAGGTGGAAGGATCGTTTAAGCCTGGGAGATTGAGGCTGCAGTGAGCTATTATTGCCTGGGAAACTGAGCAAGATCCTGTCTCAACAAAAAAGACAAAAAAGAAGCTTGTCCACGGTCACACAACTGGTGGTAATGGCAAAGCTGAGACTCAAGTCCAGGTCAGTCTGGATCCAGAACCAAGCCATGTCGTGGTGGGAATCAAATCGGAGAACAGGAGTGGAAACGCCTCCGGGTGGGGAGATTTAGTGCAAGCTCGGGAGCCATCACCAGGGCTGTCTTTATCGTGTTGCTTGCAAGGTTGTGGTTCAGATGCCATCACATGGACAACCTGAGAACCTATGCTGGGGAGGATATTGGGGGGATATCATATGAATATGGCTGGCTTCTCTCCCCCCACCCCAAACTGAGCAGTCCAATCCAGTCCTGCGAGGTGTCCATTCTGTGCCAAAACCCTGAGGCTCTAGCCTTTGGCCCAGGTGACTTCCCGTTTCCATGATGATCTCTGACCAACCTTCCCTGCCTGTGCTTAGGGCTGTCACTGGCACTATTTTATGTAATCCTCACCTTGGTCCTGTAAAGGCACTTCTCTTTCTCTCCTCAAGCTGTAAATGAGGATACTGAGGTCTCAGGAGAGGGCAGAGTGGGAACCCACGCACAGCCAAGGCTCTCAGCCCCCAGCTATGCTACCAGGACCACCAGAAGAGTGAGATCGGGTCTCAGCCCTCTTCCAGGAGAGCCCAGAACAGTGTACACTGCTCCTTTTTCCCTCCATCTCCTGGGGAGGGAAAGGATATACTCAGTCTTCACTCCGTGCAGCAAAGACCTCAAATGCCAAGGAGAGGAAATGGCAGACAAGGGCAGATTAATGGAGCAGGTCAGCGGGGGAGGAACTGCACAGTGGGGTTAGGGCCAAGCAGGGAGGGAAGGATTCCCCAGCAGGTGAAGGAGTGAAGGCTGCTGG